GGAACAACATCACATCTTTTGATTTGTATACACTGTCAAGCAGAAGATTGTCTTCCAATAACTATCGGAAAGTGAAAATGAAAAATGATCTCGGAGAAATTGCCTTTGCTATATCTTGTCACACTCTCAGGCGTTTGTTCCAAGGATGTCCATCTCGCTCTCTCCGTTACCTGCTCCATCAGCTCAACGCCGCTTGTTCCGCCGCTTGTTCCATCGCACTCCGCCGCTTGCTATGTCGCTCTCGACCGCTTGCTCAGTCGCTCTCCACCGCTTGCTCGGTCGCTCTCCACCGCTTGCTTGTTCACTCTCGTGACACGCTACAGACACACTCAATTAAATCATGAGTTACAAAATGACCTCACAGTGGCAAAAGTAATCGAAGAGTAAGAAGCAGCCTAGGTTTCAGATTCTGGGTTTGAATAAGAAGCAAGCGTGTGTTTGGATTCTGGGATTGAATAAGAAGCAATCATTTTAATTTTGATCAGACTATAAAACCAGACTACCTTCTTCTACACTGCCTTGTGCTCTTATCAGTAAACTTGGAAGCAATGATCGCCCAACTGAGAAACCAATCAATAACAACAATCAGAATCAATAAAACAGAAAACTTTGTCCAAGAAACTGTAAGAAAAAAGGACTAACTTTTGTGTTTCATGTAAACTGATTTGCTGTCTGAGAATATCATCCTCCTGAAACAGAGACAAAACCCATCTCAAGACTAAACAGAGCAATGAAACACAGATTCATTATTATTATTATTATATATAGAGAGAGACGTGTTGAGACCAAGTAACAAAATGACGCTCCTTCCTTTTGGAATCATCTTCTTCGTTATTAACGACCATCTTATTCTTCTTCGTCCTCATCGTTGTCTCTTCCATTAATATTTGTTTTTTCTCTCTCTGACGCTCTCCTCTGTTATTTTTCTTCGACGCTCCTTCTCCCTTTATTATAAAATCCACAGAGATGACCCCTCCAATTTTTTTTCTTATGAAGAAAACCAAACTTTTTTCCAGGAAAAACAAAAGAATAATACTAAAAAACGATGATTTTAATTAAATTTCACTTTGAAATTGAGATTTATATTCATCACTCGGGACAACACTGTAAAACGAACAGCCTAGGTTGTTGTTGGTTTGAATGTTCTAAAAACGACAGCAACCTAACCTCCATTTGGAAGAACATATATCAGACTTCAAATCAGAAATAAAACTTGGGAGCTAGCGATTTCTCAGAAAGTGGATTCGTTTTTTGAATAGATTGACAGGATGATTTGGAGAGTAGGGATGCTAACCCTTTTATACTCAAAGTCCCACTGCATTCCAAGAGCAAAATTTGCATTGAAGGTAGATTGTGAATCTGTAACTGATAGATTTCAGATCGTTAGGAAGAAGGTGAAACAACTCTATCAAAACCTTAGGATGAAGCCGAAATCGCAGTGGCCTAGAAGGAAACAGGTTCAACCCTTAGAATCAAAAACGACGCGTTTAATCCATATGGTACTCTTCCTTATTAGGATGGGCTTTATGGGCTTTATAAAGCAAAACACATACACCAAATATAAACAAAAGCCCAAACGAATAAGAAACATAAATAATGAAACGCAAAGTATTGATAACGTGGACACGTGTTGTCTTCAGAGTGAACGAATTAGTGATGTGGCATAATAGGGGGGAAGTAACTTTACTTTATATAATAAGATATATTACTTTATCAATTTTATAACCTATTATAAAGTTTTCTCATTTAATAATTTTTATAAATTATTATTAAAGTTTAATGTTGATTTTATAAGATTAAAGAAGTGATTATTCGTCATACTATTAAAACATGAAGTAAATAAATAAAACAAGAAAAGCTTATTGATTAATATGGTAGGAGTATAACATATTGGTTCAGAAATTAAAAAGAAGAAAGATAATCCTACATTATTTCTTCTAAAATACAAAAAAGTACGAATCAAATTGAAATTGTTTAAAGATGAGAAAAATCCCTTTCCATATTTTAAGTAACAAGGTTGAATTTCTAAACTAATTAAATATCCTCAACACCACCTACAACTTTATATAATTTAGAAATCTTAATTATTTGATATTTGACAGTATTAATATAAGAAAATTGTATGTGTTTCCTCCTTTAAAAAGCTTTATCGCTTTACTTCGTAATATCGAGAAAAATCATGTATTATTCCATCATAAGAAATATCAGACAAAAGCTTATAAAATCATCGTTAGACCTTATTTAAAAATATTAAAATATTTACTAAGCTTTATAAATAGGTTAAAAATTTGATAAAGTAATATATAAAAAAATTATAAATTATTTTCAATGTTTATAAATCAATTTTAAAATTGTAAAATACTAATAAATGATAATAGAGATTTTAAAATATTTAACCGCATTTAGTAATAAAACCCCTCAACTAAAGATGAATCATACCAAAAACCCTCAACTAAAGATTTAGTGAAATAAACCCTCAACTTTAGTTTTGTTAACGTATGTTACCCTCCGTCTAAAAATTTTGTGACGAAGGGTAACAAACATTAACGGAACTAAAGTTGAGGGTTTATTTCACTAAATCTTTAGTTGATGGTTTTTTTTACGATCCATCTTTAGTTGTGGGGTTTTATTACTAAAAACCCTAAAATAAAAACAAACTGAAACCGAACTAAAGACCGGACTGAACATGCCTATATGCTTATGAAATTACTTTAACTAGATGCATAGTCCCCGCGCAAGCGCGAGGGTTGGATACGTTGTTGATGTGTTGTGTAGTTTTGTGTATGAGATTTTGCTATTTCTTTTTAACATTTGTTTATCTGGCTTATCTATAATGGGTGATGAATGAAACATTAGAAGTCACACAACTTAATTAGTCTGATAAAAGAATAAACATCGAATTCATATGGGTTGATATTTTCATATTTTATCTTCGTAGTGATTACTGTTATTAGTGCTTTTATCGAGCATTACTGTTATTAGTGCTTTCATGTAAAAAAATAATTTAATGGAGACAAGACAAAAAAGGACATGTGTTTATTAGTGTAATTTTCTTTCTGAAATTATGTTGTATATATATATATATATTTAATTGCGATGTATATGAGATTTATGGTCGATCTGAATGGTTCGGGGTAAATATTTATTATTGAAAAATATGTTTTTATTTTATTTGATGATTATAACTGAATTGAAATGATATTGGAGGTTAGAACATGACAACTTTTCTTATAAAAGTATCAAATCCTTAAGCCATTTTGTATCCCAACAACCAGCATTAAAAATCATTCTGAATCTCCCTAAGCTTTTAGGTATCCCAAAAAGCCCAAATTAAAAAAAAAAGTACATGCAAGCACTGCATATCGAATCCGCGCACTCGCAGTACCAACTTCTCGTCACCAACTTACACCACTGGGTCACTTCATCACTCATCAATAACATTCAATCTTACAAAATGTTATACGTTTTTGTTTTCCTTAATAACACGCGCGGAGCCCGTAAACTTGCTGACGTGGACACGTTGAGGAACTTCAAAAATCTACTATTATTATATAGATATTTTTCTCTGCATCATGGATCCAATGGTTGAATGTGGAGATCCCTAAAACAAGGCGCTCTTTATTGTGAATAATATAGTGAGTACTAGTATTAAATTGCATGATGGCTCCTCAAACGACATTTTCATTTATTTCATATCTATATGAAAGATTCACAAGTCAATGATTTGAAATCATTTCATTGTGGCCCTAAAAGTAAGACATCGATCGGCTCACATTTGCACCGCATATGCTACTCGTTTGTGTTTTTTTTAATAACTTTGGGACATTGTACATCTCCTTTGATTTCTTAACCCGGATTAACCAAGTAATGCACAACTGTTTTTCCCCCCATTGTGGCCTTACCTCTCAAGTTCTCAGAGTCAGATTTTAAATAAACACTATTCGCTTAGGCACTCAAGAGTCATTATTCATGGCCGTTTCCAGCTCTTCGGACAATCAATCCAAAAAAACTCACATAAAACAGAGACAGTGTATACAGTTCTAAGTAAAAGCTTCTGGAAGCATGAAAATCTCTATCTTCTAAGCAAGTTTGGATGTAAGTGTACTACACATATATGTGCATATGTATATTCCATCTGCTAAATATATACAGTCGAATTTTACTTTCTTGTTAAGTTAGTTATGCTCAGAAGAAAACAACAAAGACTAGAAATAGAGAAGAAAAAGAAATAGCAAGGTATAACAACACATGATGGTCTTTATTTCAAGACTAAAACCAACAGACACAAAAGAAACCCATAATGAAATGCTTAAATGTTTCCCTATTTCATTAGCCTTTGTAACTTCATTAGAGCTATCTGTGTCCGAGACTCTAAGTAAATAAACATTCCTACTTTAAGTAACTCAAATGTTTAGCATAAACTGTGCCTTTAAACAGTACTGTTATTTGACAAAGAAAAACAAATCAGAGCAAAGGTCTTGTTCACCCAGTCAAGAACAGAACACCATGTCTGAGATTTTACTGCAAAAAATATCTTACAACAGAAAACAAAAGAAAAAAAAGGCGGTAAGATGATCTTTCAAAGCCGGTCTTTATTCAACACACAACAGTTCAGACACGCACAGAAAAAAAGTAGGTAAATTATTACTGGCAAAAATCCAGATGCGTAGTGCAGAGTTAAGCAGATCTTGTTGCTCCATCTACTTTCTGACCTTCAACCTTGTGATGCTACAGACTCTTCAGGGGTCTCTACCAAAACCCAGTCCTACAAATACACGTAGTATAAAATGCTAAGATGAACCTAAAACGGAACAAGATTTTTGACAATTTGGATCGGAATATTCCTCTTCTAATGAGTTTTACTAGAACGTTAAGCTTCCTCTTTCTATTGAATTTAGAGTAGCGTTAGGCATGCAGAAAGTAACAAGGAAAGTTTTATCTGCTGATCTTAACAGCAGAACAAGAGCAGCAAAGATGGTCTTTGGTCCTAAAAACAGATGTCATTGCATAGTGACAGAGTAGAAAGTTGCACTCACAGAGAATTGGAGATCTTTCTTTTCAGCAGGAAGATTTGGGCAATTCCTCTTTTTGAATGTCTCGAGATTGAGTAGTTTGGCTCCAACAGCTGATAACATAGGCAACTCATGAAGGCACAGGGTCGTGAGAGTTGACACTTCGCCTTCTTTGAACACTTTCTCCAGCTTCTCACAAAACTTTATATGGAGGACTTTTAGGTTGCTAGGCACCTGAGCTGGCTCCGGGAAAAGCGTTATGATATTCGGGCAGAAATCTATGCTTAGGTTCTTCAGATTCTTGAAGCTACCACCGCAACTTATAGTCTCCAACAATGGAAGATTTGTAAGCGACAGAGTCTCCAGCGATCCCAAACGTTCCTCATCCACACCAGAGAAAAGGTCTTTTATATCCATACACATCCTTACCCAGCAACCTTTCACTGAGTTGATCTTGTTAAAGACAGATGTGAGCCTTGTGGGGCTACAGTCCACAAAAGACACAAACTCAACACTAGCTAGGGCTTCCTCATCTAGCTTATTAGTTTCATTGATCTCCATGACTTCCCGCTGACTTGAGGAATCAGAAAATGGTAATGTCGTCTTATATAGAGCCCTGTCTATGGCCACTGGGAGAAGACGCTCCTTGCTGACATCTTTCTCATCAGCACGAGGTTCACTTGAAGAAATCTCTCTTATTTCTCCAGACTCCTTTGCGGTATTTTCTTGGGATTTAACATCTGCATCAGAGGAGCTGGCCTTCTCAGGTGTGTCACTCTCAATGTCTTTCTTTATTTGGCTCCATTCCTCACCTTCGAAACGTTTTCCATCTGCCCGAATAAAAAGCTTTGTACAACGGATTCTGCTCTCATTTGGCAACTCTAGTTTCTCAACTTTGGTTCCATAGAGATTTACTTCACGTAGGTAGGACATCTCCTTAAATGATCCATCAATCTTTTGCAACTTGCTACTTCCGGATACATCAATGACTTCGAGATTTGTGAGTTTTGAGATATCTGGGATAGCGTCCAGGTTGGTGCAGTCCCTTAGTAGGAGTTCGGTGAGATTGGAGAGCTCCTCGATGGTGGTAGCCAGCTCGCTAAGATTAGTGCCCGAGAGATTAAGACTTTTGAGTTCTTTCTTATCCTCGAAGCACACTTCAAGCATTTCCACTAAGCTAGTGGTGCTAGAAAGATCAAGAATCTGCAGACCTGACAAGGGCTTTAGACTTGGTAACCTTCTCAACTTGCTACAGTTGCGCAATAGGAGCCGAGTCAAGGAGTGAAGCTTGTCGCCTTTGGCAGAGTCCTGGAATATTGGTAGTCTCTCTATCTGGCTCTCTGAGAAGTCAAGGAGCTGAAGTTGAGTAAGATTATAGAAGTTCTTGTTTTTGCTTTTGTTTTTCTTTTGGCCTTTTGTGTTGTCGAAACATGTTTGAAGTCCACGAGCACCAGAGATATCAACAACCTCAAGGTTCACGAGTTCTTGTATGTCTGGCAAGTCTTCCAATAGAGGACAGTCTTTGATGATGAGACAATGAAGTTCCGTCAGTTCAGAGATGCTGGAAGGGGAAGATGTGATCTGAAGTCTGGATAGGTGAAGACTTTGAAGCTTAGACAATGCCCTGAAGAATGCGTCAGAGATACTCTTCAGAGAGCTAGCGCCAGAAACTTCAAGAGCATGTAGTCCTCGAAGATTCTTAAGCTCCTCAATATCTTCAAGTAGATCACAATCCCTGATTACAAGAACCCGGAGTTTGTCAAGAATTGTAAAAGCTGGGACAAAGGGTTCCAATGTGGGTTCGAAGAGACCAAGTACTTCAAGATCTTTCAGCTTGTGGAAGAACTTTTCAGGAGTTACACGACGGAGACGGTCACCACTAACAAGAACTGTGGAAATCTTGTCTGCTTTCTTTGCTTGCACTGTTTTAATCATATCATCTATCTGAGTGATTTTCCCTATACCTTTCCTCTTGTTGCCGCCATAGACTCTAGAAAACCCAAGCCGAGATCTCCCTAAGTGTCCACGACGTCGAGTATCAAGTACATTTCTCATCGCCATCTCCGGAACGACCACATTGTTTTCTTGTATCTTCAGCAACCCACGGTCTATAAGCTCCATCAAGATTGAATGACCATCCTGATACGCCTTTTCCACAGACTTAACAGGATCAAAGTAGCCTTCAAGTATCCATTGTGTGATCAGGTCACGGTAGTAAACACTGCCACAATGCTCAAAGAAATCCAAGCTATGCCCGAAACAATCCACGATGGCATCTTTCCATGGACAGGTTTTCAACAGCTCGTATGCAAGACGCAGGATTGGATTATCTCTGCATGGTTTCGTAGCACTCTCAGAACTAGATTCTTGTCCTGATGGATTCTCCCGCTCAGCCGAGAGAACCATTTCTATCATTTCTTTTAATAACTTCTCTGCTTGTTCTGGAGAAAGCTGACTGGTAGTATTCTGAATAGTGCGTTCTAGTGATTTAGCTAGCACAACGATTGCAGCTGGCAAATTCTTGCTCATTTTCACCATATGAGATAACCAGGTTGTACTAGTCCCCTGATATGGGGCAACGAAATAAGTTGGCGAGTCCTGGAAAAGGGACCCGTACAAATTCTCCAAGTCTTGCTGCTCACTGAAGAGTTCAAGTAAAGCCTCTGACTCAGTAGTGGTACGGAACTCAGTTTTCCAGTAGCTATCCGTACCTCCCCATAACTCATCTGTGGAAGAGGGTACAAACTTCCCATCAAGATTTGTATCCTGTGCCTTGACCACAGCATCGGACTCAGTTATCTCCTCAATACCGTCCTCATTTCCTCTTGCACTCTGTGCGTCTCCTTGCTCATCCTTGGAGTGCAACTTATCTCCCTCCTCAACCTCCCCACCAGATTGTGTAGCCTTCTCATTCGCTTCTCGTCTTGTGATAAGGACTTTCCTAGGTTTGTGGTCTTCAAGAAAATCCTCAAGGCCCAAATGCACCATCACCTCATGCTCACTGCTCATCATCCCTTCATCGTCAAGAATCAACAGAAGATAAGGCTCTGGTGCAGATGTTGTCTCTTTCTTCTCTCCTTCCACTGACTTCTTATCTGCTTCAGCCGGTAGATTCTTCTTCTCAGGCTCCTCCACCTTCTTCACTGACACATTCTTGGCCTTTTTCTCAGCCTTAGGAGCCAACTTATTGGCTTTATTCTCAAAAGATCTCTTCTTTTTCATGAGATACTCCTTTATCTTCACCTTCATGTCTCTAACCACATCACCCACCTTCTTTTCATCCTCCTCATCTTCATCTCTATCATCCACTTCACTCTCCTCAAAATCTGAATACAAACATAACTGGGAAGCTATGTTCTCATAAAGCGTCCATTCATCTTCAAACAAAGTGTCAGCATCATACTCCTCGTTGACTTTAAACTTCTTGTTGAGATGCAACGTGAGAGTCTGGTAACACAAGCCTCCTTCTTTCTTAGTAACATACTCAGCTACCTTCTTAGCCATTGTCGTCTTCCCGATTCCAGCTTCACCAACAAGTAAAACTCTTTGAGGACCAGCTTCTTCAAGAGCTCCCATTATCTTCTCACACAATACCTCGTCCTTCTTCTTCCCCCGTACTGAAGATGCAAAAGAAACTGCTGCTGTTGACAAAAAAAAATAAAAATTCAACAAATCGGTTATCGGTAAACCGTTTAAATTCGATTTCAAACTCAAAATCAAAGGCAGATTCAGCTTAATTAATTTGATCTTATACAGATTGGTTATAAGTAAACCGTTTAAATTCGATTTTAAACTCAAAATCAAAGGAAGATTCAATATTTGATCTTATACAGATTGGTTATAAACTCAAACTCATCATCAATCAATTTGATCTTATACAGATTGGTTATCAGTAAACCGTTTAAATTCGATTTCAAACTCAAAATCATCATCAATAAATTTGATCTTAGATTGGTTATCAGTAAACCGTTCAATTGAAACTCAAAACCAAACATCAGATTTTAGCTCTCTCTTATCATCATCATCATCAACATAATCAATTTCGATGCTAGTCTAAAGCAACTAATACAATTTACACATCTAAAATGGCGTAGAAATACAGTGTTCTGAGGAATTCGAGAAACATGATCGGAAACGAAGAAGAGAGAGAGTAATGAGAGACCTTTCTTATTCTCTGCCATGATCGATTCCTTCGTCTTCGTTCCTGAGCGCTTTGCCTTCTTCCCCACAGGGCCAAGTAAAGCTTTGCTCTCTATCTCACTTTCTCTCTCCATTTTCTTTTTGTTCTCTCTTCTTAGCCCATTTTGATTTATCTTCTTTTGTCTGTATATAAATCCTTATACAGTTAGTCCTTAACTCGTTGATGATACCCGTTATCATTTCTCCCAAATGGGAGGGCACGACAAAGGAAGATCATGCAATTCTCCTGCAATATGTTTACCATTCACCATTTTCGGTTTGTAAAAGCAGTTCAAACTGGAGATCCGTATGCAGTTCAATTTTTTTTTGTCTTTTAGTAGAAAAAGTAGGAGATGCATATCTCATCCGCTAACATTTGGTGGTATTGATCTATTTTTTCTTTTCTTTTACTAATAAATAGTTTTATTACAAATTACAAACACTTAACTTTAAAATATATTTATTATAAATAATTTACAATTATTAACTCAAACTATATAGTTCACATTAATATTATTTGTGTTATTTTTAAATTATAAGAATGATGCATAATCAGCAAAAAAACAATATTTTCCACGAAAATATAAATTTTTCTACATAAATATCAGCAAAAAATAATTAATATTTTTTTATATTTTAAAATAATTAGTAAATAGAAGAAGTACAAGCATCTAATAAATTTTTTACAGACATTTCGACTGAACCTACAACATTTGAAATATTTGTTTTAATTTTTGGTGTAATTTTTATATTTTAATATATGATATATAATTTTGAACATATTTTGTCATTTATAATTTATAAGAAGTTATTTATTATGTTTGATCTCCATTTCTATATATAAATATCAACAAAGAATTAAATATTAAGATGTCTGTTCTTCAAAAATAGTTTTGATCAACTAAAACTCAAATAGAAGACGTACAAGCATCTTATGAAAAATTTAATAAACATTTCGGCTGATCCTACAACATTTAAAATATTTATTTTGATATTTGGTATAATTTTATTCTTTTAATATATGATCTATAGTTTTGAACTGATTTTGTCATTAATAAATTATGATAAACTGTTTGATCTGCATCTCTCCTGCATGATCCGCTTGATTTGCAGTTGTCCCACTTGATCTGCATTTGTCCTGCTTGATCTGCATGAACCGCTTGTTCTGCACCGCTTGATCTGCTTTTACCATTCGAAGCCTGAACCTGTGTGACCTCTTTCTGAAAGAAAATTCCCATATACATTAAAAGAGAAGTCACTTTAGTGATTTCTCGACACGTGGCACTCATAGAGGGCTTCTAGGATTAATTCTCTTAATCTTATTGGTTGATTTTTTTAACTTTTTCTATTTTCTAATTCAGCGCGAAGAGTAATTTGATAACAAAACTATCGACGTTTCTAAACACTCCAAATTTGTTAATTCATTTTAATGACTTACCTTATTTTAATAATACATATGTTGCACAAGTTGTAACTTTCTTTAATCTATTTTAATTAATTTTTAAATCTATCAAATATAATAATTCATATTAAATGTCTTACCTTATTTAAAAACTACATTACTTGCACAATAATGAAATTAAGCCAAGAATATTAATTGGTCGATCACTAATAATTTACTAACCTTACTAATAATTAATACATGTATTAATAATTTACCTTATTAGATATTACTTGCGCAAGAATATAAATTAATAAAATATGTATTAATAAATTTCTTTATTACAAATACGGAAAACAATTCACTCTTGATATCATATTGATTACATTGTTTAGTGTGATTTATCAATTTGTATCTAATTAGGTTGTTTGTTATTATTAACTTACCTTATTAATATTGAATATACAATTTCTAATATATAGTTTCTATATACAGTTTCTCATATGATTAATCGTATAGAATATATAATATTCTCAATAATTTATTAGAGAATATTATATTTATTAGCTTATCATGCAAGCTAAATCATTGAGAAACATCCATCAATTTACTATATATAAGACATTCACAGTATGAGAAACGAAGCCACTGAACTTTTTATTATGAACTTTTAATGTTGATACTGTTTTTGTTATTTTACATCATTAAGCTTTTACATATACATATTTCATCAGAGCTGACTTTTCTTTTGGTTTATATGCAGATGCCCTATTATAACGATTTCACCACGATGCATGAATTTTTTTTTATCTTTCTATATGATTTGATTAATCGTAGATCTATTTGAATTCTAATTCTTACTTTTTAAATATGTTCATAGGTATTATCTTTCTGTTTAATGATTGTTTGTTAGAGCTTAGAAGGAGAAGAATGCTTTCATATGTATTTTTCTATTGTTTTTTAATTTACAATTTTAGTTTATATGCGCAGATCAACGATTATGACGTTTCCTCCTGTGGATCCATATGTACTTAAATCTCTCTTCGCATTCACGTTATTCAGAGACATGAAAATTACAAATGATCATATCATCCAAAACACGTAAACTACAATGTAAGTTTCATACTTTGTTATTTTCTCTATGTTTTTCAAATAATTATTTGCTTATACACTAAAGAAAAAAATCTTTAATCAATATTTTATTATAAAAGTTAGTATAACTGTATACATTTTATCAACTTTGTACTCAAATATGATTTTACACAATTTATCATATTATAAAATATATATCGTATAAATTCATATATGTAAACTATATATTTCTTTTTTTGTCATTTTTTTGCCATCATAAACTATATAGTTCTATGTCAATTATAATATAACTTTATACAATTTATCACATAATAAATTATGTATATAATTCAGAGTTAGAATATGATATGTGTAACCTTTTTGTATATATTTCTAATACTAATGTTAGAATTAAATCGGTTAAATACAAATTTTTATATTAAATATAAGTGATAAAACATAATTATTATATATTTCTATAGATTTACAATATATCAAAATCAAAAGTATTTATTATGCTTTAATTTTATAACCATATTATGGTATTAGGAAAGATATATCTTGTTGGTAAATGCTTTTAATTAGTTAATTCGTTTATTAATAAATTACCTTATTTTATTATCAATTACTTGCGCAAGTTGATACGATGATTACCTTATTTTGCCATCAGTTACTTGTCTTAAATGGTATGTTAATTATTGCAAATTTATGACAATCAATTTTTAATATATTTCTTTATTTGATTCATGTTTATTAAAAGGAAACAAATATTACAACACCTATAAGACTTTATATATCTCAAGAAATGTCTTTACAAGAATTTTTATAACAAATATTTCAGGAACCATAAGATTTAATGATAAAATATGATTACTAATTCATAATTATTCTTTAAATTTGATATATTCTGAATTTTTTATTATATATAATTCTAAACGAAATAATCCTTTTAGAAAGTATTTTTTTTAAATATACATTTAATTGACAAATTTAAAAGTTAAAATTTCGCGAAAATATATGTCTATTAAGTAAATTTCTTGTTCTTTTATGATGTCATTTATTAGTAACTATATATATGTGCTATTGCATTAAATGTGTATGTTCTTTATTTCCTAATTAGTTAATTCGGAAATATAATGATTACCTTATTTACCTATCAATAGCATATATATATAGTTAAACTATTATCCATTTAGAAAACCACAAATATAATGGTGATTTGAGATTTAGAAAAGCCAAAACTATTATCTTTATTATATATATATATATATATATATATATGGATCTTAAAAATGTAATTTACTATATATCTACATTTGTTTGTTTTTTCTATTAACAGATAAATAACACAGATGAAAGACCGTTTGTAGTTGACTACAAACCATTTTTCAGTTTGTTTCACTAGCGATATGCAAATTCAATATTATTTTCGTCTCGAAAAAAATAGAAATCTATTAAATTATTTTATATTGTACAATTACTAAAATAATTGACAATTTTTTGCAGGTTTCTATGAGATTTTTTTAATTCATAATTGTTCTTCTTATTTTATATCACTTATGAATTATATTTAAACTTTTATCACATTTTCTATGGGATTGTGATATCTATGAGATTTTTATCACATTTTTTTAATATATCACTGTCTCCTGTATATTTTTCTTACATTTTTTTTAATAGTTAACTTTTATTAAAAACATACTAATGATGTTAATTTTTTTTACTTTAGTTAACTTTCATTTGTTTTATTCTTATATACTTTTTGTGACTTTTTTAGTTTTTGTTTCAGTTTAATATTGAATTTAGTTCACATACTTTATGTGTATATGTTTTAAAACATAATTTTTCTTTTAAAAAATTAAGGTACAAAGAGCCTAATTAAACCGATCCAAAAACAAACCGAACTGAATATAAATTGAACTGGACATAAACCACACCGAACCAGACTAATAAGGTTTATTTCAGTTGAAAAATATATATTAAAACCGAACTAAACAAATCAAACCGAAAAAGTAACGATTTGTCCACCCCTACTGCATCCTAGAAATTTGCCCAAATCTTGTCTCAGCATTGAAACTCTCACTTATTCCAGTAACTCCCACATTTGAACTCATTAGATATTCTTGTCTTAACAGTATATTATATTTTTATATCCGCACAGGGTGCGGATGGGTCACCTAGTAAATAATAGTCACATTAAAGATCTACAATCTGAACAATAAAAGGGTCCCATGTGCGTAAAGATGCATACGAGATCTTCTCTCAATCATATTCCTTTTCTTTTGAGCAACGTCTGAATCATATTCATGGTTAACAATATACTGTATGTTGTTCGATTTAAGAATTGGTACAGCTGGCCTCAGGTGCAGATTATTAAACATATATATCCAGTTGACGGCATACAGCTAATAATCTTGTATAATTGTGTTCTGTAATTGTATTCTGAACAGCGAAATCATAAATCCTACTGCCCTAGGTATAACTGTATGTCATTATTTTATACAAATTGAATGTTTCTTGCAATCGTCTAACTTGAATATTTATTTTCTTTGCCAGTACTCACTACATGAAGATATCATCGAGATTTTATAATTTAAGAAAATAGAAACACGTGCCGAAATTCGAAATGTCACCAAAGTCCGGATCCAATAAGAACTGATTCAAACCTTAACGGAATATCTGAAACACCCAAGCTTATTTCTAGCTACTACTATTAGACTACTAGAGATAAGACGATACAATTTTCTGTTTCCAGCTAGCACGTACGTATAATAATGAGTGACTTCTTGATTACAAATTAAACTCAAAAATATATTAGACGATACAATGACCTTATTAAACTCAAAATTAGACGATGCAATGACCTTATTTTATATCCTCCCTAGGTATTATTTATTACAAATTAAACTCAAAAGTATATCAAACTAATAAATAATAAATTAGAAAATCAATTTATATTAATGATTGTCAACTCTAAATTTGGCTAAACTGATATTACCTTAATTCATTTATATTTCAAAAAATATATACACAATTATAAAAAAATTTATTCAACGTATTTACTAATATAAATAAATAAACTGAATAAAATTAAATTAGTAAAATTATTTTATTATTTACTTATTTAAGACTTAAAATGATTATTGTTTAACTTGGACGAATAGCTTGAATCAAATATATATCAAAATTTGTTTCATTATTTTATAATAACAAATATAAATTAATAAAATTTTAAAATTTATGTATGGTTTAGAAAAATGTTATATTATTTACAATAACTTATTTGGTTATACGTTTACATTATTAAATGAAATAAATTTTCTAGATAAATAAAATTAAAATGTAAACTAATTATTTTAATTTATAAATATTTATATTTATGTATGAACACATGATAATCATTTTGTGAACAAACATATTTAAACAGCTACAAGATAAACTCTTAAAAATTTACCGTTTAACTCTGAACTTTCAGGTTTCAAATACAAAACTACCAAAAAAAACCTAAAAGACTCTATTATAACTGTTTAGTTTTTACTTCCGAACTTTCATGTCTCAGGTCCCCATTCATAATTAGCCCATCTGGCAATTGACTGAAGTTGCAGAGGAGACGCAGAGTTACTTCTTCTTCTTCTCCGGGGAAACTAACAGGTAAAGAATCAATTCCTGTCTCAGAAATGTTTTTTTTTTGTCTTAAAATCTGTTTACTGATTTAGTTATGGTTTCGTATAAACATTTTCATATATAGTTTCGATTGCTTTCAAGATTTTTGCAGCATTGTGTGCTGATAACAAAGCCTTTAGCCGTCATGGCTGCTTCTGCAATATCCTCACAGCCACTAGAGCAGACTCAAACGCAGACGCAGATCAAGTCAGATGATCCAAAGATTACAATCCAGCAAATCCTCGACATCGTTAACAATCTGCACACAACTGTTAATAAATCTCAGGACGCAGGTGCTGCTATAGCGTCGACCAGGAGTGCTGGTCCTGAGCTTGTTCATGTGTCTACTACTACTCCTATATCTCCAAGGAATGCTCTGGAGACAGCGATAAGTCTACCGCTTCCTGATAAGAAGTCAGAAGGGAGAGAGGATCATCACATCTCTATGGTGCAACGTAACCTACGTTTGCTCAAAGAAGACGTGATCAAGCTGCAAGATCTTCGGAGCGAAGTCGCAGAGGAGGTGTGGAAACACATTCGTCCGCTTCAAGGGCTTCTTGACAAAGTAAAGAAAGGGGAAGAGAAGTCTTCAAAAACTCAGCTTACTAATGGTATGAAGAAAGACTTGGAGGTTATCAACAAGAAGATCTTTAACTTAATGTGTCAGGTCCCTTTGTTGCCCAACAAGCCCAAGAAACGTGGAGTCTCTGATGATCATGACGGTGATAAGATTAACACCTGTAAAGGAATTGTTTGCTTGCACGGTATCCATGCAACTGAAGAGGATCTTAAGAAACGCGCGGTTTACAGATATGTACTAGGGGAGCTAGAGAAGCTTGAGGATGACAAGAAGATCTATTTGTTAACCTTTGCTGTGTTCCCGGAGAATCAAGAAGTGAACCGAACTATGCTCATGTATTGGTGGATCGGTGAGGGCGTCCTGCCTGTTGTTGGAGCTGAGTGTACTGTGAAGAGAGTTCTTGAGGAGTTCATGGAGAAGCAGTTGATTGAACCGGTCGAAAACAAGCGTAAAGTCGAGGCAAACAGCTATAAGATGAACCCTTTTGTGCATTCTTCATTGGTACTTATGGCCAAGGAGATAGGACTTTTTGATATGTATAACCATAAGACTCAGCCAAAGATGAACAAGTCAATACTATACAAGGTCTGCCTTGTGGAAGACTCATCAAGCCAGCAAGAAGCAAAAGCTAAGAAAATGCCAGCGTTGGACATTGAGACAGTGTTCAATGTCTCCGAGAGGTTCCCTGACTTCGCGTTCAAGTGGTTCGCTGAGGATCAACCATCAGGGAAGAAGACATTTGGTGGTCTATCAAAACCTGTTTATAAGATGCTCAAAGTGTTTTATCTAGGAAGATGGGAGAGAACAGCGAACCGTCACATCGAGGTAGAGAACCCTGAGGTTATGAAGTACTTGAAGCATATGACTAAACTCAAGCTTCTGAGTTTTCAAGGGATCTCAAGAATTGAGAGGCTTGATGATGCTGTCTGTAAGCTACGTGAGCTGATCATCTTGGACCTCAGAGCATGCTATAATCTTGAGAAACTTCCAGACAAGATAGATGCATTGAAGGCGCTGATTTACTTGGACATTACAGATTGTTACATGATAGATAGAATGCCTAAGAGGCTGTCGTGGCTGGATAACTTGGAAGTTCTCAAGGGCTTTGTGGTTAGTGACGCTGATGAGGAGACGGTTTGCACTTTAGTTGAGTTGAGGCATTTGAAGAAGCTGAGAAAGCTAACCATTACAATAAACAAAGGGGGTTTCACTGTACTTGAACTCTTCATGGCTATTAAGGATTTTAAAATGCTGGAGAAGTTGAAAGTGGCGTGGGGAGGTATAAATAAACGTCCTGAGGACAAGAAGATAGATGGAGAAAACAAGGACAAGGTCGTAGGTGGAGGAAAGAAGCAGGAGCAAAAGGACAAGGCAATTATTAAGAAACAGGAGGGGCTCATAAAAAGAACAGCGAGCAAGTTTTTCGCAGCAAAGGAGAAAGATCTTGAGAAGCCAGAGCTTCCGGAGACACTGAAGAAACTGGACCTGCAGTGTTTTCCTGATGCAGAGCTTCCTGAGTGGCTTGAGCCTAGAAAACTAGTTCATCTGGAAAAACTGTACATCAAAGGAGGAACAAAACTTACTGGATTTGGAGTTTTACCTGCAAATCCAACGGCATGTAGTGTCAAGGTTTTGCGTCTGAAGTTTCTTCCCAAGCTAACAGTGGAGTGGAGAGACCTGAGGAAAATGTACTTCCCAGAACTGAAATTTTTGGAGAAGTATCAGTGTCCTCAAGTTAGTTTTTGCCCCTGTGATGGAATTGGAATCTGGCGCAAGCCTGAATAAACATCAAAGTCTAAGCATCTCTGCTGTTGTTGTTGTGTGGTGTTTGGCTTTCAAAGTGTGATGTTGTTTGTGAACACTTGAATAAAAGTGTTTTGCTTCGCTTTCTTGTGTTCTAAATAAGACATTTATTACCTGATTATCTAAGAAGATCTACACTTTCTATACTTACAACTGCAGGGAGGCTAAGAATAAGAAAAAATTATCAAATGCAGCAGCTGCATAAGATATGAACACAAAGGAAATGAACTATCTCTTATGATGTAGATAAATATTTGGAATATTTCCAAATATTTATTATTTACTGTATTATATTAGTTATTTTAGAAAGTTATATTTATTATTTTAAGGTTTTATGGTTTTCATATATATAGGTTTCTTATGCCTAGAGTTTTATTCAATTTTGATTGATTAATAAAAGTTAAGAGATTTCTATTTTGTTCATTGTTTTCGGTAGATCATTGGTGATCTCAACAGATTTAAGAAGACATTGATCTTAGACATTCTTAGACTAAATAAAATCTTTGTGATTATCATAGTTTTCCGGGTATTCTCAGAATCAACGGATCACTATTCTATCCCTATAAAGCTTCCACTACATCATCTTATCAGATTGCAAGCGGCCATGGCCGGTGCGGAACGTAGGCAAAGAAATCGACCGCTTATGGTATCATGATTTTAAGCCATAATTTTAGTGAATAATTTTACAAGAATAATGGGACAAAAAGTTTTAAGTGAACTTAAGGCATCAAGAAAAAAATTGAGGACATGCACCTATGCAAGATCAAGAAACATTAATCTAATCAATTAAAGAAACTCTTCTCAGAGATTCAGGTTTATTGATACAACAAAGTGACAACAACAACAACAAACAAGAAAAAAAACATACTAGAAAACATAAGCAAGGTTTGATGATGATAACATTGAAATTAATCCACTTCTCAGGGGTTGGACTGATTGGGCGGGTTGGTTGACTCGTTTGATCCATTAGTAGAACCATCCTGGGCCACAATTTCATCATCAAGAAACACAGGATCAAGCTCAGCAATCATTCTTACAGCCAGAGGAAGACCACGAGACTTATTCATCAGCTCATCTATACACTTCTTATCATTCCTTGGAGGCTCTTTCTTTTTCTCAACAACAACAACTTCTTCATATATATTCCAAACTTTCTGATGATCAGACAACGGCCAGAGACGATGGATCTCATGTCTCTCTCCAACAAGCTTCTCCGCAACGGTCTTATCCCTTGTCGTGTATATGACTCTCCCACCAGAGCCTTTAGGAAACCCATCTGAAAGATGCTTTCCCCATTTCTCATCCTCCTTGAGTTTCTCATCAAGCTTCTGGTCCCACTTGTCCTCTTCTCTCACATCATCAAACACAATCAGATACTTCTTCCACCTCAGATTCAAGTGAAGTGCATAGAGCAGAGCAGCGATCTCCTCATCTTTCACCATCTCTTCATAAGTTTCCCCAAGTTCCATCTTGGCTGAAACTTCTTTCGTAGCTTCCTTGTGGATTGATTCAAACATCTCATCTTCAACTCCAAGATCCTTCAAGATCCTCTTCAACACAGATACCTTCTTGTCCTCTCCTTCCTTTGTTTCTTTGCTATGCATAGAGACCCAAATCCTTGGAGCGTAGACACTCTTGACTTGTTCTTTGTTGAAAATCTTCTGGCACAAGGCTGTCTTGCCCACACCGTATTCTCCGACAATGACAAGACTCTTGAACTCCTTGTAAACCTTCTGGTCCAACAAGAAGTTCTCCAGTGACTTGATCTCGTTATCGAAGCCGTGGATTTTATGTTTTGGAGGTGTAGGTTCGGTTTCTAGACGATCTTTCTCCTTCTCTTCCCCTGCTACTCCAGATGAGTCCATCTTTTCTTGGGAGGCTTGGTGCCATACATCGTATTTGTCCTGGAAGCGTTGTTTGAAGTCGCGTTTGTCTACTGCTACTTGATGCTGTGAAGTATCTGAAGCCATGGTCAAGCGAGAGAAATCTCTGCAGGAAAGGAGATGATGACCAAGAAGAAATGGATACAGAGGTTTTTTTTTGGTCAACAGAAAACAGAGTTATATCAACTAAATAAATAATAACATTTTCTGACTTTGGATATAAATAGGGCTGGGCATTTTATTCGTCAAATTTGATTCGATTTGTTATTCGTCTCGATTCGATCCGAAAATTCTGAATATTCATAAACTGTCGAATCAAAGCAAATACTAAAAATCAATATCCGTTAAAATCGAAGCAAATCACAAATATTAAAATTTTGGGAAGCGGATATCCGATCCGATCCGAAAATATATAAATACATGTATATTTTGATTATATTTAAAATTTTAAATGTATAAAATTATTATTATAGCTTATGATTTGACTAATTATATTCACATTGTTACTTATATAAAAGTATTAGAGAAAAAGAAGAGAAAAATTATGAAAATTATAAAAAAAAAATCTTAAATTTTGTGTTATTATAGTTGTTAACTTAAACTTTAAAAAGTTATAAAATAGGTAAATTCACTACTTCTTTACTTTTTATTTTATACATCATGCAAAAAATATTTTACAAAATAAATTTATATCAAAATTTTAAGATTATTTGTAACGGATGAGATATTCGCAAGTATTCGTAAATATCCGCAAATATTTATTTATTTTCCGGATATCCGTTTTTACGGATATCCGTTTTTTTTCGGAGCAAAGCAAATACTAAAATCAGATATCCGTAATATACGAAGCAAATCACAAATACCTTCAAAAACCCGGATATCCGATCTGCGCCCACCCCTAGATATAAAACATACTTTGGATATATGCATTTTTGGGTCATGAAATAAATACATTATGGACGAAAAATCAGTGGATATACTGAAAATGTAATTGGTTTTAAGAAAGAAAAAAAAAAGAGTTTTAATATATGTATTATTGATAGTTTAACTTTAAACCTGGAAGAAAAAATATTATTAAAAGACTCAAAAAAAACTTATAAAATAGAGAAAAGAGAAAACTAGGATTAAAGATGGCACAAGCTGGCGTGATTAAATAATTGTATCCAGGATCCAGCTATACGTGGTAGTATATAATTCGAGACACTAGAATAATAAGAATAAAAGTGTAGGACCCATAAACAAAGTAAAGTACTACCAAGTCCAATCTCTTTCTATAATAATAAAAACATTTTTTTTTGTCATATCGTTTTGTTATTTGCTCAGCACATGCATCAATGACATGGGAAATGCCACACATAGACCTGGGTGTTCGGGTATCCGTTGGCGTTAGGATCGGGTTTTTTGGATTTTTGGGTTTTCGGGTTTACGCTCATAGGTCCCATTCTAATATTTTACTAGTACGGGTCGGGTTCGGATAATAACACTTCGGGTTCGGTTCAAATTTGTATTGCAACATAAAACCCGTAAAGTAACCATATATCGTTCGGATTCAGGTTATTTCGGTTCGGTTCGGATATACCCGAAGTATAAAACAAAATTTCGAAACAAAAACATAAAGAAAAACACTGAAACTGAATATAAATTAATCATACATACATAAAATTGATAAAAAAATGCTAAATCAGTCTTTAAAACATAATCACTTGTAAACAATGTGCATTATACATATAAACTAAATTTATTATTTTAATGAACAAATTACAAAATACTTATTTATAACTAATTATATATTTAAGGTATTTATTTATATTTTAATATTTATTGTATGTATCATATCAAAATAAACATTAAACTGAATATCTAAAATATTTATATATATATATATATATATTTAAAATATTTATATTAACTATTAATTTTGGATATTTCGGGTTACCCGTTCGAGTTCGGTTAAATAACACTTCGGGTTCGGATTTTTTTATACCTTCCTATAAGACCCGTTCAGGTGTTTTTACATTTCGGGTCTGATAACGGGTCGGGTTTTTCGGTTAGGGTTCGGTTCGGATTTCGAGTTTCGGATTTTATGCCCAGGCCTAGCCACACATAATCAAATAAGATACTGAGGAAAAGCAACAAACACAATAACAAGACAGCAATGATAAAATTCTCAGTCCTGAATATTCCTGGACTTGCGCCAGATTCCTCTTCCATCAGTTGGGCATAAACTAACTTGAGGGCAGTGATACTTCTCCAAGAAGTTCAGTTCTGGAAAGTAAAGTTGACTCAGCTCTCTCCACTCCACTTTCAGCTTGTGAAGATACTTCAAACGCAAAACCTTAACTCTACATTCCGTTGGCTCCTCAGGTGGTGAGTCTCCAAATCTATCGAGTTCTGTTCCTCCTTTAATATAGAGTTTTTCCATATACATTAGGTTCTTAGGCTCTAGCCATTCGGGTAGAACTGCATCAGGAAAACACTGCAGGTCTAGTTTCCTCAGTGTCTTGGGGAGCTCTCGTTTCTTACGATCCTTTGGTCTCTTGAAGAAAATATCGGTCATCATCGTTCGTTGAAGGAATTGAGAAGCACTTGCCCGGTCTTTTGTTTTCGGTATGTTCCGAGGAGATTCATTCATACTTCCCCACACCTTCTTCAGCTGGTGGTAAAAATTCATCAGGGAGTATATTTTCTCCGATCCACCAATACATCAACATTGTTCTATTCACCTCTTGGTTCTCCGGGAACACAACTAAGCTTAGCAGACATATCTGAAGGTGAGGAGTACTACTAAACTCCTCTAACTTGGCTTCTACGTATCTGAAAACCTCTGATCTTTTGAGTTCTTCTTCGTTTGCGTGGATTCCAAGCAAGCAAACAATGCCTTTCCCATTATTTTCTTCATCTCTGTCCTGAGGAGCTGATCCTTGTTGTTTTCTACGGTTGGTGAGCAAAGGGACCTGGAACATCAAGTTAAAGATCTTCTTGTTGATGTCTTCCAAGTCTTTCTTCATTAGTTTGGTCAACTGTGTTTTTGAGAACTCCACTCGTTTGAGAAGGGAGTCAAGTGGATGAAGATGTTTCATCACTTCACATCGAATGTCCATGTTAAGTTCTTGCACCAAAATCATGCCTTCTTTCAGCAGACGGAGATTACTTTGCAGCTTAGGAATCACATTCTCTGAATCCTCCTGACCAACTAAAATAGCACGTGCACTTGAAACTGATTCAAGACTATTATTTTGCTTGTTAATAAGTTCAGGGCCGGAGCTCCTAGACGTTGTAAGTATCTGAGATGGAAGAATGTTTGTTTGCAACTGGCCAACAATTTTGAGCATCTCCTGGATGGTAGCCTTTGGATCATCTCCTAGATTTGGCTCATGTGGTGAGGAATTTTTGGAAGCCATGACCCTTAAATGCTCAAAGCCTTTCTTCTAAGCTTCAGCAGAAACATGTCAAGAACCAATTACCAAAATCTTGAAAGAAACCAAAAAACTTGCACAAGTAATTACTCAGAATGATTCTCTCTCACCATACCTACAAGCTTTTAAAAGAAAAGGTTGAATAGGTGAAACAATTATGGTTTTGTTTTCTTTGGGAAAACAAATCTAGAGAAGCGACTACAGAACCAAATCAGTAACTAGACTAAGGTAATTAGGACAAACTTTTTTGCGTATTTGAGTCTCACCAGCCACACATCAGTCAATTGTCAAGTAGTATGACCAAAAGAATGAATAAGAAAAGACTCGACCATTTTATAAGGTTTTAAAAATGAGAGAATTAGGGAAATGCCCATAATAGAGGCTTTAATTAGTGGTTTGTTAATGATGGGACATTTGGGGATAAAAATATATATTTTGTTTGGTTTTGGACGAAAATACTTTTGGCAACTGACACACTTTTCTGCTGGTTACAGAGAAGTGACAGTGCTATTACCTATACCTACATCACTTTTATCCACATATTTGCTAAATTATTTTAAAGGCAAACAATATTATTGAATAATAATATTTTGAAAATATAATATCAAAATATTTTAATAGATAAAATAATCTAACATTTGATATGATTGAAAATATAAATTACAATTGATTGCAAGATCTCAACATCTCTAAAATCTACAATTTGTTTTCAGTCATACCAAATGTTATCTGTAACAAATAATGTAAATGTTAATAGATGTATTAGCTATTAACAAATACATGTACCAGAGGTGTTAGCTGTTAATAAATTTGTTAACAGTTATTGTCTCTGTTAACACATCTGGTACATGTATTTGTTAACAGCTAACACATCTGTTAACATCTACAAAAATTGTTAACGGTTAATGTCTCTGTTAATACACCTGGACATGTATTTGTTAACAGTTAACATCACATTATTTTCTATATATAATATTTATAACACATCTGATAATATTATATATGGAAAATAATAATTTAAAAAATATTATTATTTCAATAAGTAAAGAAAAAACAAAAAATTAAAGAGAAAATGATCAAATAATAAAAGAGATAAGGAGAAAGTTTGAATCAAAGATAGAGTAGCAAAAAAAAAAGTGGAATCGCTATTATAGAATGTTAGGAGAGAGGATGTCACGAGAGAGATTGAGGGGAATAGAGTCAAAAATCGTCATTTTTTTAATAATGTCAAATCATGGCCATTTGCCTAATTAGAGATCCATTTAGGATATACTAGCAAATTATCTCTTTAAAAATTCAATACTTTATTATATTAGCTTGAAATTTTCTAACTAGGGGACAAACGACTTATATAATCTAAACCCATTGAGTCTTTTCTTAATTGAATTTAACCATGGTTTTTGTCAAGTGTTGTATCTAAAAGGGTTAATTAGTGGTATACCAATAATGGGAGTATCAATGAAATGCATACCTACTATGTACAATCACGTGACAAAAATCAACTACTCTTTAGACATTTCATTAATGCAATAACTTAACTTTTTGGCACTCAAACAACAAGAATTGATCGTTGCTTCAAGGTCTATCAGTACAACAATCTACAGTCTCTTTAAAGAAAGGAATAGCAGAATTCACTCGCAAATAACCTTAACTACGGCTGCCTTTGTCATTCAGATCGACTGTGTTCTCTGGGATACTATTCTCACTCGCCACCTCAATCCAGGCTGCGATGGTTTCCCAACGTTGATGGACTTTGACTTTACTTTGGAATTTCAGTGGGTGTTTTTTTTCATACTACTTGACAATTGACTGATGTGGCGAGGAAGACAACGTATTTAAACATTATTCAATCTTATTAATGATCTTTATTTCGCGCATAGAGAAAATTTGGTCCAAAGTCGAGAGCTTTATTGTGAAATGAAAAGAATACTCCATACAACGACACTCAAAACTCAAAAAGTCAACACCAGACGACGAAAGCTCCATAGATAACAAGAGAAATTTGGAAGAAAGAAAAGAGTTTTGGAAGAACACAAATAAAAGAGGTAAATCAACAGTCTTCAAACTTTCAACTCGGACACTCGGGTACACTAGTAGATGATGATGAGTGTGGGTCACAGGAAAGACCATTAGCCATTTTAACCAGCGATTCTCCTAGAGTAGGGATTGGGAGGCTGTGTAGGCCTGAGGAACATGTCACCACTTTCTCCCACCCACCCTGCCTTCATCGCCGGTTGTTGTTGCCTTTGATTCCATCTTCCTCCTCCCACCGCTGCATTTGCTAGTTTATTTGCAGCCTCTGATGGCCCACGAGAAAATACCCAATTCTTGTTCATGGATGCTGCAAAAGTGCGCATACATTTTACTCACCCCATTAGATGAATAAGTAAAAACTATTCGAACAGAAAGAATGTTATTTCACTTACGAGGACTCTTCCTTCCAGGTGGTGGTATATACTTATTAGCATCTCTGCCGTGATAACTTCCCACGGGTTTGTTGTTCCATGTTGTGTCCTGGTTAATCTTATTAGACATCTCCTGCTTCCGCTGGGTCTGAAAAGCGCCATAAGGAGGAGCATTATTCGCCCTTGGAGTAGCGTAGCTGTTGAACGGCTTATTATTAGCAGTACTGGTCAAAGTCGCTGGCAACCTCTTCACGGATTGCTGCTGATGCTCGAGAGACCCTCTATGGCCAACAGACGGTTTGGCACGGAGAGATGGTGGAACATAGTAGCAACTCTGGAAGAATGGATGCTGCAAAGCCTCTGCAGCAGTTGGCCTATCACAGGGATCCCATGAGCAGAGGCGCTCAACAAGGTTCACTGCCTCCGCACTAGCATATGGCATCAAGCTTGATAGGTGTACACCCGGAAGCTGCACGATAACAAACAGATCATTACTAGTAACAAAAAGATACAAAATACGGGGCACCTACTTTCATAAGAAACGTTGAAGGTTTGAGCGAACATTACCTGAGGGAACTGGTAATTGATGACGCTAGCAAGATTAAGCCCCTCCAACCATGTCTCTTCAGTTGGGCTACCTATCACACTGCAGATTTTATAGATCTCATCTGCTTCACTGCACACATTAAAAGAGACATTTTTTCTATTTTAGCATTATACCTAAAACACTGTTTCATCAGGAAAACTGCAATTAAATATTTATTTGACAAATACCTAGCTCCAGGAAAGAGAGGGCGAAGAGATAACAGCTCAGCCAGAATAGCGCCCATGGCCCACATATCTGAAACACAATCAAAATTACACCATTGTTAAGATATGGACCAAGACTATACTGAAAGACGCTTCCTTTTATTGGCATTTTGAGAACACTAACCAACTTTTGACGTGTACACATATGACTGTAGCAGTACTTCAGGTGCCCTGTACCTGTTAGAATTTAGAGCGATAGCCATCAGCACATGTATCATCCAACTAGATATAGAATGTTCTCTTAGGGACTCATTTCGACAGATCAGGGAAGTGAACCATACCAGCGTGTGGAGACATACTCTGTATAAGGTGGACTCGAATCAATCTCCCGGGCCAGGCCAAGATCAGCAATCTTAATGACATCTTTAGAGACTAATAGATTTTCTGCATTAGAGAAAAATACACATGAGTCATTGATACAACACGTAACTGTGACTGCGTTAGAAAAACCTGGAAATCAAAACACCCATCACACGTGTCTTGATTGGCAACTCAAGGCTATCAATTACCTGGCTTAAGATCACGGTGGAAGTATCCACGCTGATGCATGTAAGAAAGACCTTGAAAGACTTGAAAGCACCAATTTCTGACATCAGATTCTGCAAAAAGCTTGGGGCGATCCTTCATAAGCTGGTAAAGATTGCACTCCTGGTCAAGTAAAGAAAGAATATTTAAGATAATGGAGAAGAAAAGGCTACGGCAAAAAGATTAAACATAAAGTAGCAAGAAGTATACCATGTACTCGAACACAAAGTATAGGATGTCATTGTCCCGGATGACTTCCTTCAACTTCACAATGTTTGGGTGATTCATTCTGCTAAGCGACTAATATGAGAAAAGAGAGGAATCAGTAAATATACAAGAAGAAATACTCATTAACTTTCCAGTAAAGAAGATACGGTACCTTCACTTCCCTCAGATTAATACATTCTTCCCAAGAGAAATACTTTTTCTTCATTTTTTTAATTGCAACCTGTCCATCGAAAACTTCAGTACCCTAAAAACAAGTACAAATAGTATAGAAGCCTTGATCTCTCCGAAAAAAAAAACAACTTACAACTTCACCCGTCTGTTTATTGACAGCTCGCCAAACATTCCCAAAAGTTCCATCACCAACTTCTTTGATTAAACTATACCTGCAGTTGCATAAGGCGTCAAGAAATAAACCGAATTATATAAATCAATGGGTCTGAAGCAAAAGATAAGTGAATTGCATAAGGCACCAAAAAATAAACAGGAATTATATAAATCAACGGGTCTGAAGCAAAAGATAAGTGAGAATTTCAAGAGAAATCGAACATACCTCTCCATCACCGCAACAGTAAAGTAAAGTATCTCCTTTAGTTTTTGTTTGTAACGTATATAACTTCAGTTTCTAGTAGTCCGTATGGTAGACAACTCAAAGTTTCTCCCGCTGGGGGTAGGCTAGCCGTTATTTACTTTGAAAATCAATCGGTTGACCAGCAAAGCAAAAGAAAGACACCAAGAGAAGAACGCAAAACATAATGACTGGAAGACGCAATGAACCAACACGAACCAAGGGGGTTCAGAGAGACTCTAGGAAAAGACTATCAAAGCTACGACTTGTCAAAACTTGAAAAGAAGCTTGTACATCCTTCGTTAGTCAGCTCCCATAAGAACCAGACATGGAATAGGGACTAACACAGTTTTTTTTACTGTAAGGAAAAGGGTTTAGATGGGGCTTCAGGACTATGCGAAGAAACGATAACTTGCAGACATCAGCCCTGTAAAATAGAAAGATGACACAAACAATCATGTTTCCAAACTCAATAATCTATTTATTCCTTTTTGAGATTTCCTAAATTCTCGATATCATGTTTTTCCTTTTCTCAAAACTTCTATATTTCTGTATTCATTCATACTCCCAAAAATCTTTGGAATATTTTCTTAACCTTATATTTCCTTATTTTCATAACTAAACTTATATCAATAAAATAAACCAATTTCGTACACTAAAAAAAAACAGCTATTAGGAAAAGAAAAAAACTCTATCTAAGCTAATAAAAATTGCCAAAAACCGTACCTGACTTAGAAATTTGCATCAGTAAGATCACAGAAGAAGGTCAGAGTACCACTAAGTGCAGTTAACGAAAGAGCCACCTGAGAGCGCAAGAAACCGCAAATCGAGAGCTTCTTGCAACGAAGAAACCCGAAACTGATAGCAGCCTGAGCAGATGTAATCTTGTTCCATATCTCAAAAGACACTCGAAAATGAAAGCTTAATTTTAACCTGAATTACATCACCACGACAAAATCAATTTCACAAATACAACAACAACAACAAAAAACAGTTCCAAAAGACTCCAACGAATCTCACGTCACGTCACAGATCCCTAACAAACCCTAATTGCACAGATTCATCTCAGATTTCAATTGACGAAGATATTAAATTCCAAAAACAAGTCAGATCTCCGAAACGCGACTCTAATCAAATAACAATACAATCCGATTGATCAGAACGAAGAAAAAAAAAAAAAGCTAAAATCGCAATCGGCGAGAACATCGGAGAGATCTGTGATTTGATTACCTCAACAGCCAAAAGGCATAACCTCCGTCACCGACGACGGGAAAAGATCTAATCTCCTACCGCTAAGCTTACGACTCTCCACCGCTATCTCTAATCTCTATCTCTCTCTCTCCTTGCCGCGTATTTTTTGTGAGGCTCTCGTGGATAACAATTATAAAAGATCTAACCTAACTACTTTTATAATATCTCAGCTAAAAAAAAGGAATATTATTATTATTATTGAGCAATATTGTGGTCGTGTTTGTGTGTGGTTAGCTATACTCTTATGCATCTACTCTACGGTGGTAACTAACTTAATGACCGTTGAATTTTTAGTTGAAGACGTCATGTTTGATATTAACCGTAGGATTTGGAATTTTGATGACGGCCTCTCCAAGCCTTCCTTTTGATTCTCTGGTCTCCACTCAAAGTTGTAACAGATGATAAATACTTTCATTTTTTCTTTTCTTTTTTTCCACGCTGTGAGTCATTTATTTTCTCTGGTAAAGGCATGTATAAACACGCTCAGAGAATGGGATATTATTATACATGTAGGCTTCCACGTTTGACTAGGAGCTTGTAAGTAGATGCATTCTTAAAAATATGTAAAAATTTAAAATGTCACATGGTTATACTGGTCCATGAATTCTGAAAACTTCAGTAAAATATGTGTTTACTTGTTTGAGAAATTTTAAAATTTATTCAATTCATTTGTTATCTGAAAAGTTTAGTTATTGTTGATTCTTTATGGACATCATATAGCTTGGTATATCATTTAGTACATAAATCTATGGAAGTTCATGTAATTTGATATGTTATCATATGTATATCTTATAATATGATAAGAGTGTATATATTTATATATTAACATAATTTTTTTTAATTAATAATATTATAATAGTAATGATTAAATTTGTATATAATACTAATCTAGTAATTTGACAATTCTATAATATTTGACTGATTTATTTGTTTGTCTACTAAATTTTTAACTAAGTAATATTTTATTTGTTTATTCTTATGCAAATTGTAGTTTTTTTATAACATTATTATCATTATATAAATTCTATTACAAATAGTGATAAACTACATGCAGTTCATGAAAAAGTTTACGGATAATTTCAATCATTAGTTTTATTATAATTATGTTTGAGTCATCAATATACGTTATCATAGTCTAATCACATTTTATGACCAATCAAATTATAATATTTTCACTTAAACATGTTTTCAGTTATTAGTATGATATTTTAAAGTATTTAGATATCAATTCATTTTCACAGTAGAAAATATCTAATGCAGTTTGACAATATATTTTTTAAATATCGACAATTCTATGGACTATGTATTCAATCTAAAATTTAAGGTGATTGCTTTTTACTAAATTTTTAGATGATTTTAATAGGTAGTAGAGATTTAAGTGATTTTTGATTATTTTGAAGTGCACCAAATAAAAAAAAAATTATGACTTTTGATTTACTGGGCCAAAAATCCTATTGTAAAATTTTCTGGTCCTCTACAAAACAGGCCTGATTTTGTACATTTAACTCAGGCCCAAGCTCACTAACAAATTGATTAAAAAAGATTGCGGTGAGCGTGGATCGAACACGCGACCTTCAGATCTTCAGTCTGACGCTCTCCCAACTGAGCTATCCCCGCAAGTTGTTATTGTATTCAAATTAACTAATATCTACATTTAACTGTTCTCTTCCTGACCTAAAATTGGAGATGGCCAACCAGTGAGAGGCACTGAAGCAGTACTCTCATGTCATCAATTCTAATCTAAACTAGTTTTTGACCCGCGCGCCCGCGCGGGTGTTTGTTTTGCATAATTATATATTTTTAATTTTTGAAAATGTAATAAATTTAATTATGTATATTTATAATGTCTGAATTTCATATGTTATTCATGTGTAACATGATTGTGTATTGTTCATTGTGAATTAGCTTTTATTTATAAAGTATGAGATTGTTTTTCTGTAGTTGTGCGAGTGTTTGTTTTTGAGAATTTTATTTTTATAAGATAACAATTTAATGGTTTCATTTAATAGTTTCATTTTTTTTCTACTTTAGTTTATTGGTCATACCATATATTTCGTTTTCTTATTTTGTTATATATTAAAATTTGTTTTTGATGATTGAAAAATATCTTGTTTATTTAGGTGTATCACAAAAACTTATAACTATGTATTAATATATTATGTTGTTAATTAGCTATAAAAATGTGATCTCAAAAGTATTAATATACAAAAATGTGGCATTCAAATCATTATAGCTAGATAGCAATATTTGGCTATATTACTTTGTTAATATGTGGGTGTGCAAAAATTAGGTAAGCTAAAATATGAAACAACTGTGTTTTAGTTAGTGGAAATGGTTGGTAATTATTGTGGGAAAAACAGTGCTAATTAATAAATGTAGTTGAAGGTTTTAAATAAAAAGTTTTAGTTGGGGTTTTCATCCGATGTAAAAATAGTTGAGAGCTTAAATCACTAAACTATATGTTTATTGTAAATATTTCGTGCTGTTCTGTGATTATATTAAACGTCGCGTTTCAATTTAACGGTTCTCTATCCCAAAAAGATGACTTTGTTAACAAAGGGTTAACGGTATTAACAGTTTAATAATTGAAGCTTTGTAAACATAAAATTTTAGTTGGATATTTTTCAACTGATTTAAAAATATTTAGAAGTTTAAATCACTAAAAACCTTGTTTATACATTGTAAATTCTAAGTGTTCATATATTAAATTCCTTTAGTTGTTTGTTTATATGAATGTAGTTGTACATTGTAAAAAATTGGAAGATAAATTAAAAACAGTTAAAAACAAATTAAAAACAATATAGATCAGGAACATATATATATATATATATACATATACATATATATATATATATATATATATATAATATTATATATTATACGCCATAATGGTGAAGCTCTTATTTTATTTTTCATATAATTTCATTTTTGTAAATCCATTTTGGTATATAAATTATACTAATGCACAGAGGCTCAATTAAAAAATTAATAGATCATATTAGTAAAAAGTAATTAATTTGTGCATTGATGGGCTAGTGTATACATAAGAATAAACTTATTAACATAAGCTTCCAGATTAAATGGCTAAGATAATTTCCAAAGTAAACAAATGGGCCACGACTTTTCTATTTATTTAACTAAACCCCATCGGAAAATCTAAATATTTTTTTTTCTAGGGAAACACGTAAGTTCCTAACCATTCATCTTCCACTGTATTTCATTTTTTTGTCGGTGATGCAGAAATATCTATTTCTTTCTCTCAATTCATCAGCCTTAACCTTATCCCGTAAATAGAAGATTCACCTCCTGAAACGAAAAAGATTGTCAGATATACCTACATGATTTCCATCTCCGTATCAAAGGGCATAAGTGGATCCACTTGATTTCTTAAGGTTAGAGTCTTATTTTTTTATATCTGAAGCGCATGAGATTTTCTTTTCAGACCCGTGTAATAAATGTTTCATACATATTGATTAGGTAATTCACATATCGAAACTCACTTAAAAGAAACTCCGGGCGAAGATCAATGTTGATTCTATTAGAGAAGTCGGATTGACTTAATTGCAGAAGCTTTGTTTAAATGCTAGAACAACCAAGTATCGTGATCAGAGGAGCCATGAAATCGACATTTCAAGGTCTTATACTAATTGAATACTACTGAGTTAAGGTCAATTTTCTTATAGCTGATTTGCTTTTATACACACAGTATTAGTAGTATTGAAAAAGAGGGACAGTAGCCAGAATTGATTAATACAAAAGCAAGACTGAAGGGAGAAGGACAGAAAGATAAGAGACATGGTAAGTAATTGTTAAACATTCACTGCACTTTCATAATCTGTCGTTTGATTATCTATATAGTTAGTAAATGTTGAATGTTTGTGTAGTTATTTGTATATTCCGTGGTCTAATATGTTTTATAGAAACGCTTTATCCTTTTTGTAATGATTTTGTTGATCTTTTTATACAATCATCATAAAATGATATTGACCTTTTTAATGTTTCGTATGAAATTGGACGTTCCGAGAACCAAGTTCAAACTATCCAGTTGCAATGAAGAAAACACCTTGCCGAAGAAATAGAAACAAAACACGGTTAGTAATTACTTATTTATCTTAACTAATACATAAGATGAAAGCAATGTAAAACAATTTAAAATAAGTTAGAATATTGAAAGAACCTTTCCTTAACAATATATGTTTGGTTTCGTCTTGACTGAGTGATGCATTTCTAGGTACATGTTAATGATAAGCTAAAAACATCTCAAAGGTATCTCCACCAAAAGATTGTTTTGTTTCCATGAATGTAAGCATTTAACCTGAATTCACCATGCGTTTTTATAGCTCTGACTTTTGTGAGAAGAGCAAAAGTTGTCGCTATAGACATGTTTATATTGAGGATCTTTCAATGCTTTCCTTTTGACGCAATAGAGATGAGGTATATATAGTTGGCTTTTGAAATAGTAGGTAAAATAGGGGAATTTAAGAAATTATTTTGTTAGTTGTGATCGGAACGTATTAAAAAAAAAGAATATACGGTTTTGAATTATTTGCTAAACATTCTTTTTATATTAAATCATCATATTAACCAGAATATTCGTTTTATAGATTAGGAAAACGTGATTTTGCAAGTTTTGATAACAGGATATTCAGATTTTGTTAGTTAATTGATATCTTTTTTTTGTTATGATGATGCGCTGAAATAGGAAACAATTTTTGGTTGATTATTCAGTTTAGGAAAATATGAATTTATTAGTTTTGATTTTGTGCAGTTAATTGTCATTTCTTTAGTTACGCGGTTTATGAAATGTTATTGATTAGGAAAATACGAATTTAAGTATCCGGTAATATCTTAGGATGCTAACAAACAGAGGTAATATGTATCATAGGATTATTTATCATGATACTAATATCTTAGGATACATGCTTGATCGATACATTTTAAAATATATAGCAAGATACTACCATGATACAAAACCGAGAAATCAATAGATACATGAAAACAATACTAAGATGAGAAACAGTTCTTTGATAATTATAGGTTTTATTAATTATGATATATGATGGATCAGAATTATGTGGTTAAGTATTTACAGAATTGATTTTTTAATGTAGTGAACTGAATTTTGTATATATCTAATCTATTGATTTTGATTATGCAGACCAAGATTAACCGATGATAATTTGGTATGGAAACACGTGAGTTTAGGTTCTGTCGGTTTTGTTTTGAGTTTTCTCAGGCGGGTCAAATTTAATTAGATGGTTTATTAATGTTATTAAACGCTGTGTATAAGCCCAATGGCATTCAGTGGTAAATTTTGTGCAAAACTCAGGGCTAAGTACAAAATGTACTTCACTTTTAATAGATTAGATGATTCACTAAGCAGACAAAATTTCAAACACACATCTTTTTGTTGACTAAATTCAAACACACTTCTTATGATGAGCTTCTTTCTCTTTTATGGCAACTAGGTGATTTTCCCGTGCTCATGCACAGACATAAATATTTATAAAATAAATATATTATAATAGTTGATTGATATTTACTTTAACTTTTATATTAATTATAGTTTTATGTATAATTTATATTAATAATATTATATTATTTTAGTTATATATAATTTTAGATATATTATATTTAGTCAGTTTTATCATTTGGATATATATATATATATATATATATATTGGATTCTATCTATTTCTCGGAATTCAACTATAATATTTTTTATTCTAAATATCTTAAATTTTTGATTAATTGTTTTATTTACATTTATGTTGGTTGTTATCTTAGAAATATAAGTATATCTTAGTAAGATTATGTATTTTAAGATTTTTGTGCTTAGAACGAAAAAAAATAAAAACTCAAGTGTCTGATTCTAAATTACATACATAAGTAATAATCCCTCCATTTCGAATTAGATGTCATTCTAGAGGAAAATTTTTGTTTCAAAATAAGTGTCGTTTTAGAGTTTCGAGACAAAATTTATTATGTTTATATGATATTGTATTTTTCTATTGGTTGAAAAGTGGTTAGGTGTATTGGTAATTATGTTTTTATATTGAAAATATGTAAAACTAAATATTTTCTTAATTTGTGTGTAAAAACCTAGAATGACAAATAATCTGAAACGGAGGGAGTATAAATTTTTGAAAGCTTATGAACATATATCAATATTTACGATAATTAAATATTTTATAAATTTTAAATAATTTATGCATTAGATTTAATGGATGGTAAACTGAAATTTATTTTAAATAATTTTAAAAATAAAAAATTCTGATTTGCTTAAGTATTTTGATAATGGTTATATTAAATTCCACAAACATAAAAACAGAAAATTAAACATCAAAAGAGTTATTAAGAAAACTGATAATTTTAATTATTAAAATATAATATATCTACCTCGTTAAATTATATAGTGTTATGATATTTTAAGAGAATTGTAGTTATTTGATCAAAAGATGTTTATTATTAAATTTATTTTTAGTCTTGTTTTAAATATCTCTTAAAATATGAAGTAAAAATGTGACTGTTTTTGAGAAATTATATTATATAAGTAAAATACAATTTATATTTTTTCCACTGTAAGATATTATAATCAAATAAATATACTAATTATATATTTTTTTGTCAATTAAACATATATCAATTTATGTTACTTAATTATTTTATGTAATCATCTAATAAAATAGATAGATATATACAAAAACTAATTACTTTGAAAATATATATTTTATTGTTTAAATTATTGTTTTAAAGAAAAAATATTTCTTTTTCTAATATCAAGATTATTTGTATGAACTTATTTATGAAAACACATTATATACAAATATTTGTTTTCATCTAAGAAGTTATAGATATAAATTATAATTACTTAAAAAGTATAATTCATGTTATTTAAAAATATATTTAAGTTAAATATTACTATTTTGTAAACTTTCCTTTTTTATGAAACCATATTATATATATTTTTTTTCGTTTTTAAAAATTTTATAAATATTTCCTTTTTGTTTTATATTGTTATTTGGAAGATTTTAAAAAGGAAATAATAATATTTAAATATATTTTTATTTCATTAGGGGTATCATAGTAATCAATCAGCGTGAGAGTTAACGTGAGCGCGACACCTAAGAAAGTGACTTCTCAAATAATATTATAGAGATATTTAAACAAATAGTAGTATCTATATATATATATATATATATTCTTAATCCAAACTGTATTTTTCATAACATCGTAAAACTACTTAGAGAAAATTTGATTAAAATGGGTAATGTATGCTCATCATTATAGTATATTGGCTTTGAGAAATAATCTAAGTTTTGAAAGATTTTCCCTATTTCATATAAAAGTGTATTGTACTTTGAAATTTACTTTAAATTTAATATTATATAACCTGTTAAAAATTCCTAAAAATAAAACATGGAAAACTAATTGGATTCCATAATTGACAAAAAAAAATTGGATTCCATAATGAAATACCACCTTTTATTTCTTCTTCGTTTCAAAAAATTCAAATTGCCTTTTTTCCTTTCCAAAAAATAGGAAATTGTACAATTTAATTACTCCAGTGGGTCAATAAAATCTAAATGTTGATTATTCACACTTCAAGGCTACAACAACTACTCAAGCTACTCCACTAATTTCTACCCTTGGATCAGAATATTAGGGGTGGGCGCGGATCGGATATCCGGGTTTTTTAAGGTATTTGTGATTTGCTTCGAATGTTACGGATATCTAATTTTGGTATTTGCTTTGCTTCGAAAAAATACGGATATCCGGAAAAACGGATATCCGGAAAATGAATAGATATTTGCGGATATTTACGAATATTTACGGATATCTCATCCATTTTAAATAGTACAAATAATCTTAAGATTTTGATACAAATTTGCTTTGCAAAAATATTTTTTGCATGATATATAAAATAAAACTTAAAAGAACTTGTGAATTTATAGATTTTGTAATTTTTTAAAGTTTAAGTTACAATTATAATAACACAAAATTTAAGAAAAAAATATAATTGTCAAAAATATTTTATCTCTTTTTATGTAATACTTTTATATAAGTAATAATTTGAATAGAATTGTTCAAAATCATGTGCTCAAATAATAATTATATAATTTTATACAATTAAAATTTTAAATATAATTAAAATATACATATATTTATATATTTACGGATCGGATCGGATATCCGCTTTCCAAAATTTTAATATTTGTGATTTGCTTCGATTTTAACGGATATTGAATTTTAGTATTTGCTTTGATTCGAAAGTTTACGGATATCCGAAATTTTCGGATCGAATCGAAACGAATAACGGATCGAATCAAATATAACGGATAAAATGCCNAAAATATACATATATTTATATATTTACGGATCGGATCGGATATCCGCTTTCCAAAATTTTAATATTTGTGATTTGCTTCGATTTTAACGGATATTGAATTTTAGTATTTGCTTTGATTCGAAAGTTTACGGATATCCGAAATTTTCGGATCGAATCGAAACGAATAACGGATCGAATCAAATATAACGGATAAAATGCCCAGCCCTACAGAATATCATAACAACAAACGGCATAAGATCCATCTCCACATTACCAAATAGGCAAAATAGTCACGCTTGCTCACCAAATACACCCACGTGCTCGATACAAAGTCAACCACAAAATAATTAACAACCTGCGATCACCGGTTCTCTAAAAAAGGAAACAGTATCTCGGTTCACCGACCCAACCGGTAAACAATCATATAAACATATACACGTCCGTGTTCACCACGTTTTATTTATCAAAGCTCCTGCAACATTCTTCTCGGCGAGAACAATAAAAAATAATTCTCAGGTGAGTTTCTCGATTCGATTTCGTGTTTTCTGTTCTCGACTCCTTTTTTGTTTGCTCGCACTTGAAGCATATCTCTTGTCTAGGTTTCGCGATCAGTTCTTCTGTTATATTATATATAAATAATTTCTAGGGTTGATAAGAGTAAAATCGTTACATAGTGGATTTTATTTTCGTGTAATTTAATCTTCAGAGTGTGATTTGGATATTTGTTTGCTTGTTTCTTCGCTAAATTAATTTCAATTTCTCAGGCTATTTGCTCAGAGAAAAAGGACAATCAAATGGACAAAGAATCATCTAAGTGCCCCTTTGTTGCTGAAAGCATAATCCAAAAATGTCCTTTCCTCAGAAACATCAACAAGCCTACCAGTTTCTCCCTCTCCTCCTTGAATTTCCAAATTCCTGTAAATACTTTCTAAACCCTTTAAAACCTGAAATTTTTTTTTTTTTTTTAATTCAATACTGATTTAAAAAGTTTTTATCTTGATTTTGATTCAGGTTGTGCAAGGAGATAGTAGTAGAGGTCCGATTTTTGAAGATGGTCCTGGATTTGATTCAGCGTTTAAGCTCTTCCATGGTAAAGACGGTATTGTCCCGCTTTCTGGACATTCTAGTTTCAGACATGATCTTGAAGATGACACTCCTCTTCCTACTCCGCAATTCAATCCACTTGCGGGGAAGGTTGCTAGTGTTAGCTTATCATCTTTTGGTCCTGGAGGACCTTTTAGCTTTGGTCCCTTTTCCGACAAGTTTAAGAAACAGCAGAAGAAACAGCAGAAGAAACCCAACAACCAACAGGTAAGATTGTACAAAAAAAGACTTTAGAATTTACTATCAGATGCTAATTTAGTTGCTTGCTGGCTTTCTTTGCAGTCTGGTGACTCATCGAAACACGAAGCAGTTGGAGACGAGTGGTTAAAAACCGGGAACTGTCCAATAGCGAAATCTTACAGAGCTGCAAGTAAAGTCATGCCTCTTGTAGCTAAAGCATTACAGCCACCATCTGGTATGAAGTTTAGATGTCCTGCTCCTATAGTAGCTGCAAGAGCTGCTCTTTCCAAGACCCCTTTGGTTAAGCGCCTTCGCCCTCAGCCTTTACCTGAAAAGATGCTTGCGATTGCTCTCATGGGGATGGCTGCAAACGTGCCTCTCGGTGTTTGGAGAGAACACACTGTAAAGTTTTCGCCATCGTGGTTCGTGGCGGTTCATGCCGCTGTGCCGTTTATAGCGATGCTGAGGAAGTCTGTGTTGATGCCTAAAGCTGCCATGGCTTTGACTATTGGAGCTTCGATTTTGGGACAGGTGATTGGGTCTAGAGCTGAACGTTACCGTCTTAGAGCGGTGGCTGTGAGTACAGTTGCTGAAACATCTACCGTTGTTGCGGGTGATGGATATGACCAGATCGCGGATGATTCAGGCGTTGTGAAAGGGCATTGTGGTTCAGGGGAAGGAGTGAAGGAGGTTTATTACAATGTGAATGTTGGAGAATCTCCTAAATCTACTGGACTCTGTTATTGATATATGTTCTTATTAAACCTACAAATTAATATGTGAGGATGTTTTGTAATTTCAGTGCATTGTGTAAACCAGAGCAACGGTGTTGTTTTATCCCTTTCTAAAGTGCAAATAAAGAGTAATTGACGTTATTTGAATCTCATTTTGATCACAGAACTTTAGCATATATAACGGTAAAGAGATTTCTACAAAGCACCAACATCTTCTAGTGAGTGTGCGACTGAAACATGTAGAGAAGTAAAATAAAACGGTCAAAACAGCCTCTGACCTTAGTATCCAAATGGAGAAGGATAATGATGGAGATGTAATATAGTTCTCTCAATAGCTCCCAACATGTTGCCTTGGCATGCCTCTTCCTGCGTTTCTTCCTTGTGTGCTCACATAGTGTTCTCCTTGTGGCTCACTCATAAAGCTTGGGCAGTTAGCAAAAACATGACCATTGCTCCCACATGCGCCACACAGAACCATACCGCCTCGAGGTCTTGAGTCGCTACTGAATTGATTTGCTGCAGGTAATCCAAATCCTCTGCCTTGCATGTTCACTGATGAGGTCCCAACACCAGAGTTTAATGCACCAGACCTGTAGTTAGAACTCTCTGGGTTTACAGTGAGAGAATTTGCATCTTCTGTGCTGAGTTTATGTATTGCCTCTACCAGGGACCTTGTATCTGAAGAATAGTCCACCTTCTCAGCTTTCACAACCGTTGCTTTCACACGGTTTTCGTCGCCATAAGTTTCTTCTTTAACCTTCAGCTTGAAAATGTACTTGGTGAAAGCAGCCTTGCGGATGATGTCTTCAAATTTCTCCTCATCCTGATCCTCATACTTGAGATAATACAACTCTTTCGCAGGCATTCCCATTATCTCCTCACCAGCTTCCTGAAACGCAGTGGCCCACGTTACTCCCGTATGGTCCTGTAACTGTAGCTGCAATATATACCTGTAGTCACATTCACCCACGCTCTGGTCACATCTCTCGCACCGCCAAGTCCCATCTCCGTTATTGATCACCTTTTTGCTGCATTGACGATCTCCATTCATGATAGGACAAGCTGTGTAGCAGAAATTATCAACCTTCATGAATGAAATGGTGGCACTGACTGTGATCCAGTCTGGCTTCTCTGAGGTCCCTAGATTCTCGTCCTTGATTTGAGTGATCACCTTGCGAATCTCTTGTCTGCCAGCGCCGGAAAACACTCTAGATATCGAGATACAAGGAGCATTACGTCCTTCTCTCTCATACCATTCCCTCACTACTCTGGCTTCAGGGAAATCTGGCTCTACGTAGAGTTGACTTGATCCAATGGTGCTCACTTGCTTCCCGTTAAACTCACTGATCCTCCCCGCCTTCACAGCAAGAACCGGGAATGTACCAGAGTCACAAAGACTCTGCAGTCTCTGTCCTTCTACGTTGCAGAAGTTACCCCACATAGTTACTTCCACGCTTCTTCCCGACATATCCTTCAACTGAAGTGCCTTCTTCTGTGCTTCACTCCCATTCTTCCTCATAATCAAACCACTAGGACTGATGGACGACACAATACCAACCAGATCAACGACACTATTACTCTCCATGTTCTCAATATCACTTATATAACGAAAACGAAACAGATTCCTCGGAATAGCCACATCATCCTCATAACACTGTTCCACAGCTGACCAAGTTTCTAACTGTATCTCATAGTCATTAGGAAGATGATTATATTCTCTCTTTGCAGGCTTCACACTTCCCTTCGAGATCAAATAAACATTACCAACAACAACCACGTCAAAAAACTTATCAACCACCTCATTAAAACAAGTAACCCGAATCTCCCCACCATCAGCATCAAGAAGATCAAAACTGAATAACTTCCCTTCCCCATTAGTCTTACTATAACGCTTAAGCTCTCCTTTACTCGTCACCCTAACCTTAATAGTCCACCTACTCTGGTAAGGATTAAGAGCCGCAACAGGAATAGTCATCGGAGCAGCAGCTTGGTTCCTAGCCACAGGACTCCTGTTAACATACATAGATGGTTGCTGAGGCTGAACCGGTGGGCGAGTATAATAAGTCTGCTCCTGCCTAGAGCTTTCGTAACCTGCATTTGAGCTCACGTATGGTCTAGCAGAAGGTGATGTAGCGGAAACAAAGGGTTGTCTTTGAACTAATTGAGCTTGAGATGAATTGGCTACACTCCTTGTAGCCTGTTGCTGGTTAAAACCAGTACCAGAACCAGCACCAGCACCAGCACCAAAGGCTTGTCTTTGAACAACTTGAGCTTGAGATGAATTGGCTACACCATTGAGTTCACTCCTTATATCCTGTTGCTGATGAAAACCAGTACCAAAGGCTTGTCTATGAACAGCTTGAGCTTGAGCTTGAGGTGAATTAGTTACTACACTATTGATTTGTGCATTAGGAGTCAACAATGGAATAGGATTCCCAATTATATTCCATTTCTCCGCAATAATCTCTTGTTCATTAACAATAACAATCCTGAAAAAATCAGAATAATAACATTATCATGATAATCATCATCTACACAACTTATCATCATCATCACATTAGACTGAGATAAGTCATCACTAACAATAACAATCCTGTAAATCAGAACATAATAACATTATCATGATAATCATCATCTACACAACTTATCATCATCACATTAGACTGAGATTAATCATCATTAACAATAACAATCCTGCAAAATCAGAATAATAACATTATCATGATAATCATCACCTACACAACGTATCATCATCATCATCATCACATTAGATTGAGATCATCATTAACAATAACAATCCTGTAAATCAGAACATAATAACAATAATCATCATCTACACAACTTAATCATCATCATTCACATTCGATTGAGGAATAATCATCATACCTACGATCCCTAACGGGACTGCAACTGAATCGAGTGAGTTTAATAACCGATCCGATTTGAATACTCCCTTGCTTCACTAAAACGTTGGAGTTAGCGCTAAGCATACCTTCCTGCGACTGGATCCCGTCGGATAAGGCGATTTTATACCTCTCGAAGCTAACCTCCTGGTTCCTTCGCGCTTGTTGGATCATTTTGATCTCCGTCACTTGGAGAATCGGCGTCATCGCTTTCTCATCCGTTACTTCTCCGCTCAGCATCTTCGCGATCGCTCCCGCCGTTAGATTCGCCGCCATCGTTTTCTGATCGTTACTGTGGAGACACTCGAAACGATTTGAATTTATAATTATTGAATTTAGGGATTTAATGAGGTTTAATGAGAGTTTTGAGAGGGAAAGTAGAAACGTTTTCGTGAGACTTTAGACTATTTACATTCTTGGTCTTACTACTTTCTAAGAATTACGTATGAACTTCGTTTCAGTAGTTTCAACTCCAAATTTAATCTACAGTGATGACTGTTTTACTTGGCAAATTGTCTACCACTTTCTTAGTATTTTTTAATATTTTTATCTTAACCACATTTACATTTTATTGTAAAAAGGTAATAAAAAATATATATATTAATAACTTTAAAATTAACTAGTGGTAGCCATTTTTATTTAGATTTGAGGAAAGATCGTAGAGTGCAAAGTTTAGAATTTTATTAAAAACTAGATTTTAACCCGTTTTTGAACGTGGGTTTATTTACAAAATGAAACAAATTATTCTAAATGAATATTTATATAAGATAATGTCTATATTTAGAAATATTTATCCCGATGAACCAAACCGTACCAAACTGGAAAAAACAAAAGCAAAATTAAACCAAATTTTATAAATAATCGACAATAAAGGGGTATTAAAATTTATTAAATATAAATTAAATATAAATTTAAATACAAAATATCCTAATAAACTATTTATAAACCAAATTAGGAAAAAAATAAATTACCTGAATATTTTCTATTTAAAATATTTACAATATTAAAATCATCTGATATTTAAATTGTAGGATAGTTTACATTTAAAATTAAACAAAAACATATCATATGCATTGTTAGAATTTGTAAAATAAATAAACATCTATACTATTAAAATCTCCAACCCATTTAGACGCTTTAATTTTTATATCAATACGATTAATCATTTAATTCATGTATAAAATTGTAATATAAAATTTTAATAATTGATTGCATGTAATTAATTAAATCAATGTTTCCAATTTATGTAAAGATATTAAATATATTAGAGTATCATAGAGATTTATTGTTAGAATAATTATATAATACATTATGGAAAGTAATAAATGAGTTCATTTAAATTATAAAGTATTTAATATAAGGGAAGACCAAAAATATTAGTCTAATGAAAGGTTCCAAAATATTAGTCCTGTGACTTAGGACTACTTCCCGCAATTCTCCATTCTTTTTCAATACACCCTTCTGACACTTTTTTACTAAAAATCTCAGAACTATCTTTCCCCTCTGCAATTTCTTTATTAACTGTTCTCCCTTCACTCACTTTCCTTACTCCATTAGTTCAGTCTCCGCTCCATCATCTGTATTCTTCTCACTACTCTTCCTTTCTGAATCATTTATACCTAACACCTTTTTTCAAAACTTCCTCTGCTTTTTTCTCTTCAACCTCCTCACTCTTTTCCTTACAAAACGTATCGTAATGACCCCATTTCCCACACTTAATACATTTAGGAGGTAGCCATGGGTATGAAAAGTGAACTGTTGTATCTCTCCCTTGAAAACTGTAGTTAATCTCTTTCGGTAGCTCCTTTGTAAAATCAACCATAACAAGCACTTTTGCAATATCAAAACTCTGACAGGCTATTGTATTAGGATGTAAATGATCCGTATTGTATTAGAATGTAAATGATCCGGAATTCCAGCAGCACTGGTGATAAAGCTCAAACTCTCCCAAGAGTACATGTTCATAGGAACATTAGAAACATGTACCCAGAGGGGGATTAGACCAGCTTTCGACACATCATCCTCCGGAGACCAGTGCGAAACCACCATTGGAACTCCTGCAATATTCCATAACCCTCGCCTAACTATTTTGTTTCTGATCTTTTCATTTGCAACTCTAATCCTCATCGTAGTAGCATCCATTTCATAGACATCCAACTTCTGATTTTTCTCCCCAAACGCCCAGATCTTGTTGACAATCATGTGTACCTTTGCAACGTGAGGAGCTGTGTCCAGGAACCTCGCGATCACAAAGTCATCCCACAATGGACTTGCCTTTTCAATACTTCCGATGGAACCTCCACTGATTTCTTTCCCTCAGATTTCGAAACTTCAAAATCATACTTCTTCAGAACTTGTTTCCCCTTCGCTATTTCAACCCAAGGACCCTTGACTGTGTTAATCGGTGGTGAATGATCCGTTGGAGAACCCTCCGGATCCATCTCAACTGCCTGAGAAGACAGCAGAGATCGAGAACCTTCGATCGTCATTTTCGTCGCCAAATCACCTTTTTTGTCGTCTAGTATCGCCTGAGAAATTGTTCCTCTTTCTGAGAATTCTTCGTGAATGGTGTTTTTTTAATTTTCAAAATTAATATATGTTGTGTCAGTAAAACCTTTTATGTTCTTATTATATATTTTTAGTTATTGTGTAATATGTCTAATAATTATTAAAATTATTCAAGAATTTTATTTATAGAAATTCATAGCTAATTCTTTATAATGAATTAATATTATACATAAATATCATATGTACAAAAGCTTGTATGAATGTTTTTTCTATGACAATAGTATTTAGAGAAATTTTCTAAGAATATTTACTTTGTTTTCATAAAAAGAACTTGAAAGATAGAAAATGATCAAACAATTTTTTTATTAAAAGATAAATATACTCTTATACATTTAGAGTTAACTAACCATAAACATCTTTGTTTAGAGTTAAGGGGTGTGATTTTGGGGGTGGGGTTTAAATTATTTTTTCCATAACAACAATAAGTAACTAAGTAACTAATCCTCTGAATTCGGAAAGCCTAGCCGGAGGTGTTGAACCAACATATAACATAGCTGAAGGAGAACTTCTTACACCACGTGAAATGTTATCTGCTATAGTATTTTGTGTTCTCGGAATTCTGCTATAATATTTAGTGCCCTCAGAATATGTCTGATTCGGAAGTCAGAGAATAAAGTCTTATTGCGCCTGAATTCTTCCATGTGTGCAGAAAAGGCTGGTCATTCTTTAGGTGTTAACACCATCTTTACTAGTTGAGAAAAATCCGTCGCAAAAACTACATCAGAAAATTATTGGGTCTTCATGCACTCAATTGCTCAAATCAAAACCTCACATTCGGCATGAAAGGATGAAAAGCTTCTGCGCAAGTTCATTGCCCCCATCATAACATCTGACGATACTGCCGTTTGGCAAACTCATTCTTGTCATGTATAAATATCCTCTTCTCTCCATGCTTCATCAAGATAGCATACTCAATTACTCCCCAAATGATTTTCCCAGCCAGCACAGCAGTCATCTGTGTAATCTCTTGTTGTCTAGTATTGAGTAATTGTGTCTCTGCCCATATCACACTCTCTACCTCAGCTTTCCAAAAAAAAATGTGGATTTCCATTCGTATTCCTATAAATCTTTCCATTCCGGTTCCTCCATATATACATAGAATCCATGAGAAATAACTAAAATCATCTTCTCTTGGGAGTCTCCAGAAGAGATACACTACAAGAAAACTCGTCCATTACTAGGGCAGGTTTTCCTCGTTAGTTCCTAGTAAATGGCCTTTTACTAGGAACTTACGAGGAAACGCGTTTCGTCGAAACACGTTCATCGTAAAGCCTTTTTCCTCTTAAAGTCGTAGTAACCACTTTCCTCGTAATTTCCTAGTAACCATTTTCCTCGTAATTTCCTAGTAACCACTTTCCTCGTAATTTCCTAGTAACCACTTTCCTCGTAATTTCCTAGTAATGCTTTACTAGGAATTTACTTCGAAATTTTTTTCCCTATTAAAAAAAATAATTAAAATAAATATAAATAATATATTTTAAAAATTAAAGAATCCAAATTATAAATAAAAAGAAATAACAAAATATTTTATAAATAACTAAATATTTAAGTTTTAAATTCATATACAATTAAAGAGAAAAAAACTAAACTACGGATGTTGCTCGTTAAAACTAATCTACACCTAAACCCCAAATTTTCAAAACTAAACAACCTAATATAAGTTCCCTAAACTAACCACCTAATCTAAATTCCCTAAACCCTAATCTTAAACCTAAACCCTAAACCTAAACCAACTTCCATAACTTATACCTATACATCTTCCTAAACCCCAAATCACAATTTTTTTTTAAAAAACTAAAAGAAGTATACAGTCATCGGAACGGTTTTTATCAACCCCACATAGCTTTCCTCGAACTATTTACCTGAAGAAAAGCCCCAACCTATTTCTTTGAGGAAAAGCTATGAGGAGTTGATAAGAAACTATTATGTTGACTGTGAACTTCTTTCAGTTATGAATTGAGTATTTTGTATTTGTTTGGTGTGTTTCAAATGAATCACATATGGTGATATTTATAAAAAAAATCGAATCTGAGAATTTACTAAGAAATTGCTAGGAAAAGTAGGTAAAAAATTTAAATTCGATATTTTCTATCTAGTTCCTCTTAATTTCGTAGTAACAAAACTCATTCCTCTTAATTTCGTAGTAAGCAATTACTAGAAATTTACGAGGAAACTGCTTTACTAGGAAATAGCTATGCCCGCATTTTTTTCCTCGTAAAGTCCTAGTAATGTTACTACGACTTTACGAGGAAACTGTTTTCTCGTAAGTATACGAGAACCTTACGAGGAAACATGGTTTCCTCGTAAACTCGAAGTAAACTCGTAGTAATTTTACAAGGAATTATTTTCCTAGTAAAGTTTCCTCGTAAATGTTTAGTTTTCTTGTAGTGATAATCCATACTAGTATACACCGAAGAGGACGAGAAGATTCCAAGAGGGGAAGGGATCTTAGATAGAGCACATGTTTGAAGTACTGGTGGACATTCAAAAAGTACGTGGTGAGTATATTCTTCTTCTGGCCCACATATATTACATCATAAATCACAATCTACTCCACGCGACTTAAGATTCTTTGACACTGGTAAGGTGCCCGATAATATTTACCAGACGAAATATCTCAATTTCAGAGAGCATTTCAGTTTCCAAGAGAATGCTAGTAATGGTTTAACAGTAGGATCATAATCGTCTGTTGTCCTTTATCTGGATATAAAGTTTCTATTCGAATATCTGATTTAACCAAATATTTACCCGATTCTGTAAAATTTCATCCATAAGTATTTGTCTTATGATTTAAGCAAATCAACATCTCACAAACGATCTACCAGATTAATAAAAGA